TCAGAGCCTGACGCGGGGCTCGAACTCACGGACCGCGAGATCGTGACCTGGCTGAAGTCGGACGCTTAACCGACTGCGCCACCCAGGCGCCCCTCCCCTCAGATTTCTTAAGTGTTTTTATGTTCTTACAGCTCTTAAAAAAAATTGAAACTAGAGAGGCAACTGGGAGGCTCAGTCTGTTAAGCGTCTGACTCTTGATTTTGACTTAGGTCATAATCTCATGGTTCATGGAATCGAGCCCCACGTCAGGCTCCACACTGACAGCTTGGAGCCTGCTTGGGATTCTCTCTCTCCCCCTCTCTCTCTTCCCCTCCCTCACATGCTGTCTCTCAAAATAAATAAATAAAATTGAAACTAGAAATCATAAACATATGTAATGGGCTTATATAAGAGTGATGGTAGGCAAATCTGTATCCAAAGAAAAGACCTGGGCCTTGTATCATAGTATTATCAAATTAATGTACATTTGTTTTAATGTTTAAATAAAAGTTAATGGCATCTAAGGACGCTAGGATGACTCAGTCGGTTAAGTGTCCCAACGCTTGATTTTGGCTTAGGTTGTGATCTCACAGTTCGATTCATGAGATTGAGCCTCAAGTCAGGCTCTGCACTGATAGTACAGAGCCTGCTTTGGATTCTTTCTCTTTGCTACTCCCCTGCCCATGCTTTCTTGCTGTCTCTCTCAAAATAAATTTTAAAACAAGTTAATGGCATCTTAATCAGTTTTTCTTAACTGATTTTTCTACTTCAGCTTTTTTCGATAACCATCCAATTCTTGATGGACACGTAGAAAAGAGAAGTATGTGTAAAGAGATAATATAATATGATTTGAGGAATTAGAAATGAAGATTATGTGCTTTTAAATTTAGTCCTATGAACACTGAAGCCCAAAGCACCGGGCCCTTCTGCCCAACTTTCTGTTCTTGTTATTATTCTTCTTACTGTCAGTCTAGGCTTTGTTAATTATTTGGGGTTTAGGAGAACTAACTCTGTATAGTCACCATTTTCATCCACATATTTAAAGCTTTCTTTTTATTTATGTAGGTCTTTAAGTGGACAGGAGATAATATGTTTTTTATCAAAGGAGACATGGATTCACTAGCTTTTGGTGGTGGAGGGTAAGTCTTGTGAACATTTTACCATGAGATTTTTAAAGAAACTTTATTCATTTATGTTATTTATCAAATCCATTATCTTTGGAACGTTTTGACGTTAGAGCATAGTCTGTATATTATGACTAAGAAAATATATTTACAAGAAGGTGCTTAAGTAGTATTTGAAGCTCTTGATAAAATATTTGTTTATTCAGTTTAAAATGCTGTTTAGTTGATTCCCTCCTTGGTATTTGAAAGTGAAATACCTTAGACTTTCTCAAATTAAAAAACGAAAACAAAAAAAACATGATGGTATGTTGTTTCTCCCAATGTATAAAAAAAGTTCCAAATGTTTTCTTCTACCCTGGAGACTATTTGGATTAATACGTCAGAGAATAGTAGAAATTTGTTCTCCTACAAAAGATTTGTGAAATTCCCCCAGATTTTCAGGATTTGTTTTCTTACTCGTTTTGTTTTTAATAGTATGAGTCGGTCAGTTATTTGATATGATTCTTTTGCGTAGCAAGCACTGTGAGAACTTCTGTTTACTTATTCTGGGATCCCACCTTCATTCAGTCTTTACAGTGTTTTTGAAGGTAGCTTGCTCTTCCTCCAGGCCTAGACTTTTCGGATAGTGCTTAGTGGCAAACGCCAGCTCCTTCCTTTGGTATTTCTCTCTGTCCTTCAGGATCAGACATAAAGTATGCTAATTAATTCCCAAACATAAAGTACTATTTATTTGTTTTGCACAGCTGAGAATATATAATAATAATTTATTCAGGCTGCAGAATCTTGTTAGCCTGTAAGAATATTCATTATCCTGAGTGGTTCAAATAAATTCTCTTACAACTTCCCTATAGATAGGTATTTGGAAGACAGGATTTCAGTGATTAAAAAATAACCATGGTTATCATAGCCTTCTCTGAAGGACATAATCAGGTAACTAAAAACCATGTTATTTTTAGTTGTTGCATCAACGTATGTTTATATGTTCCAGTTGCACTTTTTTTTTTTTTTTTTTTTTTTTGGTTGAGTGCAGGCAGTCATTCAGCCCCACCCCAAAGGGTAGTCTTAATGTGATTCAGTTAGCTCTCCAGGAAGGCCTTACAAGCAAATGGCTGATATTTTAAAGCTGCTAAGGGTGCCTCCAATCTTTGAAAATAACATAATATCATTAGATTTTTGCTAGAACTTGATTTTGATTATTCCACATGATTACAACAAGCTAAACTAAACACTGAGTCATTTGGTAACAAATTAAGACAAGTTTACACTCTTTAGAGAAGGAGAGTACAGGCTCAGAAACCTGGAGCTACAGGGACTTGGTACACCAGAATTTCAAACAGGAGCCCCAAAGAAATCTAAATCATGACATGGTGGACTTAAATGCAGGCTTTGGAGTTAGACTGACCTGATTTAGATTCTGGTTTCAACATATATTACCCATGGGACCTTGAGCAAACTCAAGTCTCAAGTTTCCTCAGCTGTGAATTGGAGACTGAACTCTCAACATTAACCACACATTTTATGTTAGATGATAGGGAGTATTCATGTTAAATATTTAACTTATGTCAAATACATTAAAACTATATAGCAAAGAGAAACACATAGTACCAGGCAAAGAAAGAGAGGCACGTGTCTTAAAAAGCTGATTCTATGTGAAGTCAATTTTAGAGGATTCATTTTATTACTTGATCTGTATAGTAAGTGATTTTATAATAGGATGTGAACAAAACAAAATTGCCTTGTACCAGTGTGGAAAGGAGTATGAAAGTGTTTTAAGAAATTAATGGTTTTAGAGTTGTTGAATATTGAAACGTCTCATTTAAATTATTATTTTACAACCTCTGTGGTAATTATTGTATAACTTAGGGCATAAGTATTAAGAGATTATTGTTAAAACTATTTTCTTTTATATATTGCAGGGGAGAATTTGCCCTTTGGCTTGATGGAGATCTCTACCATGGAAGAAGCCATTCTTGTAAAACATTTGGGAATCATACACTTTCTAAGAAGGAAGATTTCTTTATCCAAGACATTGAAATCTGGGCTTTTGAATAAATGTAATGCTGTCTTAGCAGGATATTGGCCCAAACCTGACATGGACAAGCATTGTTTGGAAAGTTCAAGAAGCAATACAACGTAACATGTCACTCGTGCTTTAAAATTAATTGTATCACCATTTATTACAGCTATAATTTTGGAATTTATTTTTAAAATCATGTTTCTGTCCCAGGGTTTTTCAGGTTTAGACCGTGATGTGGGTCCACACAGTATAACAGCTTGGGTTTTGTCAGAATTTTGGCAGCATTTTGATCATAGTGACCACCTCATCTACCATCCGTGTAATCTCAGTCTCCTAATAGGATGGTGCTTTTTTTTGGACCTATTTTGGTTTATTGTTTTTAAAACTATGTTGATTGTTTTACTAGAGGAGTCTAATTGGAGCATTGAGAGAATGAAGATTAGATAATGCTGTGAGATATATCTGTGACGTTGGCACAGGTGACTTTTGGACATGCTCAACTTAGTCATCCTTATGAAGGAAAAAAGAACACATGCCAAAATTATGCATATTCCATAAACCACTGAGTTCTAATTTTAATTCACACTACTACAGCATTCTCTTTATTAATTTTGCAGGTATTCTCAATTTCATTTTAATAAAAATGAAATTTGAGGAGAATTCTGGTTGTGATAGACCACAATGCACATGATCTGCAGGTTTGGGCATATGCTTTCATGATTGAATTATCTGATGAAAAGTTATAAAATACAAAGGAGAATGAGAACTTGATGATTCTACTGGATTTAATATATCAAGCAAGAAAATATACTATTTGCATATTTGTAGCTTAGCAGGGCATTATAAGTACAAAAACTATGAAACAGATGCATATTCCTTCAACATATTGTGTCAGATATACTGTTTTATAGTTCCATTGTTTTAGCCTTGTTGCACACCACCTCCCAAAATATAGGTTGTTGTTCAAATGGAAAAAAAAGTGTGTTTTTTTGAGTGGTATATGTTATTAACTACCATTAGCATTTGCTGTTATAAAAGGGCAATGATTATAGTAGACAATATTGTAACTCAGTAGACTTGTTGAATATGCAAATTTACTGTCAAGTGACCTCAAAAAAAAAAAAAGATAGAATATACTAGTAGTTCTTATCCTCTTTTGTAGGAAACCAATAATATGCCATTGTGGCGGTCATTCATCAGTTAATTTCAAAGCTTCATGTTATGCAAAAAAAAAAAAAATCCTGCTGTTATACATGTGACAGTGACCTTGTGCTGAAATTTCAGCTATTCCAGATAAACCTTGTATATTATCTTGTAAATTAATGTTTAAAGGTAGTTTTGTTCTTATAGAAAGTGTCGATTGCCAGGTTGCTTATAGCACTTTAAATTATTCTAAAAAGGAAATTATAAGCCAAATATGTTGGCTTTAGTAGTTTTAGTTGTATAGGACTTGAATATATTTAGATCTTTTGAAAGTTTAGATAATTATCTAAAGAAAGCATAATACTAATGGGAAAGAAAATCTGATCTATTTAATATGCTATCGCTGAATATGAATAGAAATGTGGGCATCATTTCCTTGTGTATGTAAAGCTCTCTCATAAGTTAGTAACAGTATATAGATTAAATGTTTACAATATAGAGAATTGTAAATAAATATATCGTTTTCTCCCTTGGTCTTCCACAGCAGTATTATTGTCTTTGTGGAGTTGACTAATCATTTAAAAAAAGAAAATCCTGTATTGGATTTCAATTATAATAAGGTCATAGTGGTGTATACCAAATAAAATTAAATACATAAATACAAATTCGAGTTTGGATTTATTGAATAATCAAGTTGCTTTCATATCTAAGGAATCTTTGATTAAACACACTGCTGTGGTTCATGTGTAAAACCTGCTTCTAGCAGCTTGGGGTGGTGGTAGTGACAGTGGTAATGGTAATAGTGATAGAAGGATGCATTTAGTAGAGAGAACAGCATAGTTTAAAAAATGAAGAAGTGAGAGGGCACTTGACATGTGAAGAAGTGTAAGTCATTTGATATTTTTAAATTATGTTTTCTCTTTTGGTGGGGGGGAGTGCATAGCAAGGTAAGACTAATGCCATAAAGAGTTCTGTTGTGTGCAACTCCAAGAATTTAGATTTTGTTTTTTATCTCATAGGAGCAACTAAGAATTTAGATTTTGTTTTTTTATCTCATAGGAGCAAGTAAGAAAATATGAGTGGAGGAATGGCACCAATCAAGTTTACACTTTAGAAAGGTCTCTGAAAATTAGATTCGTAGAGAGAAAAACTAGAGACAAGGAGACCAATAAGCCTGTTACAAAGTCCAGAGAAAAAATGATGAGGCCTGAATAAGAATTATAGCAATGGCAATCAAGAAGGATGCATGGAAAAAAAAAAAAAAAAAGGCGTGGATCTAGGAATTAGTGTTAACATGATTTTGTCATTGTATGTCAGAAAGAGGTAAGGCTAGCTCTCAGGTATTTTACTTACAGCAACTGGGCATATCATCCATTGATAGGAGTGATGTACAAAGAAGAGAAAGAAGCAGCAGACAGGGAACTTAGATTGGTTGTGAGAAATCAGAGAGCTGATGGGGAGTGTTAACATTTGGTTCTCATAAAAAGATTTTAAAATCAACGACATACAGGTATGTTGAAGCCATAATGTATGAATAAAACACCCTTGGAGATTATAGACTGACTGGAGAGAATTCTTGAGATAAATTTTTGGGGCTATAGTAATATTAAGGGATAGGCAGAAGACAAGACTCAAAGCTTCCTTCCATCTCTAGAAGCTAGAAGAACAAGAAATTAAACCTAATGAAAATAGAAGGGAGGACAAACTAAAGATAGCAGAACTCAATAAAATTTAAACAAGTATATAAGACAAAATCTGAGAATAAGACTAATAAACCTCTAGCAAGATGAGAAAAAAGTACCATTGTTAAGAATTTAAAGCCTCTAGACTTCAAAGAGAGAGCATACTGTGGACAACTTTGTATCAGTAAACTTGACAGTGTAGATTAAAAACATTTTGGAAAACAGTTTGCTAAACCTGACCCAAGAAGAAACACAGGTTTTGTATTGCAGAAATTGAATCTGTTAATTAAAAAAAAAAAAAAAAAATCCACAAAAGAAAAACCATGCCCTATGCCCATATGGTTCCACTGGGTAATTCTTGTAAGTATTTAAGGGGGAAAAAAGTGTCAGTATTAGATGAACTCTTCCCAAGGTATTGAGAAAAGAGAGACTTTCTGATACTGCCTTTTGAGACCAGTGTGACCTTGATACCAAAACTTTACAATCCTTACAAGAAAATAGTTATAAAACAGTCTCATTTGAACACATATAAAATCCTACATAAAATAACCACAGATCAAAATCAGCCATATATGAAAGAATAATATAACCAAATCAAGTTTATTCCAGGAAAGCAAGAGCAGTTAACATTTTAAAACACCAATTTACCACATTTATAGAAAAAAAAGTCTCATGACTATCTCCATAGAAACGAAGCTTTTGATTAATTTCAGTGCCAGTCTATGATTAAAACTTGGTGAACTAGGAAAGAGGGGCTCTTCCTTAATCTGATAAGATTATTTTTGGAAAATGTACAGGAAGCATGATCTGTAATGGTGATTTTTTAAAAGTTTCCTCCCAGAGATAGGAAACCTGACAATGATAACTGCTATCACCGCTTGTATTCAACATTGTTCTGGAAGTTTCAACCAGTGAAAAAGCAACAAAGAGAAGAGGCATGAGGATTGGGAAGGAAGAACTTTAAATGTCATTTGTGTATGACATCATTGTGGGCATGGAAAATTCCAAAAAGATCAAACCATTTGAATTCATTAGTTGATTTAAGCAAGGTTTACTAAGTTCAATATAAAAACTTCATTTTTCATATACAACCAACAATTAGAAAATGAAACTTAAAATATTACCATTTGTAATACCATTGAAAATATTGGATATATAACAACAGAAGATAAGTTGGAAGGCTATGCCATATTCATGATAGGAAGACAATATTGAAAGATGTCAGTTCTACAAAATCAATCTATATTGGCCCTGAAATTCTCAGCCAGGTTTATTTTTGGAAATTAAGCTGATTTCTATAATTTATATGGAAATTTAGAGACAGAATAAGGCAGCATTGAAGAATGAGGCTGTGATCTTGAATATCAGATCTGTTAAAAAGCTGGATAAGACAATGTGGTATTAGTAAAAGGATTTAGAGAAAAGAATCAAAATCAAGAGTCCAGAAACGAACTGATTTTTTTTGAAAAGAACTGTTGCTTGATGGAGAGGACAGTCTTTTCAATAAACGGTGCTCAGTTAGTTGGATATCTGTATGGAACAAACAATCTTGACCCATCTCACACCACATGCAAAAATTACTTACAGATTGTAAATCTAAATAGGAAAGGTAAATAGTAGAGCTATTAGTTTTAAAAACACAGGAGAATATCTTTTGATCTTAAAATATGCATACATTTGTTAAATGGTCAGACACACAAGCACTCACCATGAAGGAAATGAATGATGAATTCTACTACATTAAAATTTTAAGATATTTTCCTCATCAAAAGACCTCATTAAAAGTGAAAAGGCAACCAACAGAGAGTAGAATATTTGTATAATACACAGATCTGATGAAGGTCTTAAGTGCACAATGTGTAATTGACTACTAATCAAAAAAGTTCAACAAAAAAGGCAGAAGACTTTGGCAATTCCTACGAGCATTAAAATGGCCAATAAAAGCTATTTTAAAAGGAATGTGAAGTGGAACAACCTTGGAAAATTTTCTTGTTGGTATCTAGTAAAGCTGAGCCTTTGACCAGGAATTTAATTCCTTGATATATACCCACCAGTAATGTATCTGTTTACCAAGACTAGGTATTAGAATGTTTACAAAACCCTTTGTTTTCTCTTCCCACCACCTCCCCATCCTTCCATATACCCACCCACTCACATATTTATGCTGAATCTAATTCTATTATACTTCACATATGTGTTTGCATACATTTCCTAAGAACAAGGACGTCCTTTTATGTAACCACAGTCCAGTGACTGAATTCAGGAAATTTAACATAATAGAATATTTTGATTTAATATGCAAAACATTTTTTAATCTCACCAAGTGGTCGTAATGTCCTTTAAAGCATTATTTTTCCTGATAGGTAATCCAATCCAGGATCCTGCACTTAGTTGTTCTTTTCATCTCCTTTAACCTGGAAGAGTTCATTCTTTGTGTTTTATGACAGTGGGCATATTTGAAGAACTCAGGAGTATAGAATGCCCATCAATATGGATTTGTATAAACTTTTCCCGTATTGAGGTTATGCATCTTTGGCAAGAAAACCCCAGAAGTGATGTCATGTCTTCTGCATCATATTAGAATCTACATATGTATGTTTATCCCCTTATTGGTGAATAATAATAGCTTTGAGTAGTTGATTAAGATAGTGTCCACTATGTTTCTCCACTACTACCATTTTCCTTTTGTAATAAGGAACGTGTGGGGAAATACTTTAATACCATAATCTATTCTCCAAATTTACAAAATGTTTTTGGTATCCATTGAAGATTCTTGCCTGAATTACAGAAATGATTGCAAAATGATTTTTCTTTCATTCCCAGCACATTTGTTAGTTGGCATTTACTGTAAGAGCTTTCTTTTATCATTTAAGAATATGTATTATTGGTATGAATTAATTTTTTTTTTAATTGAAAGTATTACAATCCATTTCTGTGCTCTATTTAACCAATGAGTACCCTGTCAAACTGACTTCTGTACATTTCTTTTCTTGAGTGCTTGCTTCTGGTACAGTA